GGCTGAACACATCCAATAAGCACACATAAACGATATTCATTTGATGCTTTCAAATCATTTGAACGGCAACACTTGAGGTGCCATTAAATACTTTCTTGTTAATCGCTTGTTCAGAAGTGCGCAATGATGAGTGTGCTCGTAATAAGCATGAAATACCAACAACATTCACTCGGCAACCTCACTTCACTTGTCACTGCTATAGTCAATGCTGTTCTTTTCTGTCCTCCACCTCACCGTCACCCGTAACATAGGAAAAAGATTAGCACTACTACTACTACTACACTTCCTAACACTATCATTAATATTTGCTGCCAATCGGTTAAAAGTTGCTCGTGTCCTGTTGATTTTTTGACATTAGCTTTAGAGAAATTGTATGCATACACGACCCAAATTAATTGGCTTCATCCTTACTTAATACTGCTTAAATACTCCAGTTGAGCACCACCTACTCAATCGTGTCCAAAAATTACGTGATTAACAGAAAGAACGCAAAAAATTCCAAACTAAACATCTTCAATACATTCACTACACAATTTTTCTTTCCTTCCATCTATTTCTATCGATTGTCAGTGGATGTGCAAACGACGAATGTTGTCTTTGCCTAGAATACAATCGATAAAATTCGCTTCGAAGACTGGTCGCGATTTTGTGATTTTTCATTGAAGGAAAAAGAATATCTCTGCAATTTATTTCACAGATGAAAATTTCAATTATGAAAATGAGAAATATTGCACATACAATGAAGTGAAACACGACAACAAGGAGGCATCACCACAGAGAACAAACATGTTTTGGGTGTTTCGTTCGAATAGCAAAGAGTGCTGAAACGTAAGAAAATAAAATGAAACGAATTGTGTAATTTGGAACAGTGAAACTGGTTGATTGTTTTGTTGAGGGTGGTTGTGTTGTTGATAGATGTTGAAGCGACGAAGAACGTTAAATTTAACAGATTTATGCAATCTTATACTATATTAACATATTCAGTATACATACAAAATGTTCACGTTCACTTCAAATTGAAAGATATTTCAAATTTTTCATATCAATTTAAAACCAAAAAAAACAGGAACAAAATTTTCTACGCAGATCCAATATGATAAATTAAGGACAGATTATAATAAATTCAACAGCTTTCAAAACACTAAAATCATTTACAACGCAAAAGAACATCCACAACATCAAAAGATCAGCCAGCAACGAACAGTGAATAACGATCATAACAAATACCGGAATGAAGGCAATCAAATTGACCGAAGAAATAAGTGCACAGAAAATGAAAGTGAATCACATGAACAACTCTCGAGAATATACATTTAAAGAAAACACTCAATGAATTCAAGCAGTGAGCAAAGTTCAATGAGTTCATTTACTGTTTATAATAACAAATATTATGAGGACAAAATAAGAAGTTGATTTATGTAAGTGAAGCTCTCTTTGAACAATAGTAAATATGAATTTATCATAGTTATCGTGGATTTTACTCTTTCATAGTCAGATCACATCGTTCAACTGAAGATAAGCTTTCTTCTTACATTCACCAACGAGTAAAAACTTTCTAAATTACATTTTTGAGCAAAACCAAATTGTGACCACTAAAAAAACAGCCAAAAAAACATTCGCGAGATCTTTTGCTATCGAAAATTATTCATTTCACGAGTTCCATTGTTTTTCCTATTATTAAAGCTACAAGAAAGACAAATATTTGTTCGACGAGTTGCTCTTAATAAGTGTTTACTCTAAATGCTTGACGTTGACAAGTGAACATGAACGATGAGATTCTTCAAAAAATAAAACAATAACGAGAAGAAAAAAGAGAACAATAAAGACCAGAACGCTCAACACAGCGCCAAAAAGCAATTGTACACATTTACGTGCCCCTAATCCACTCTCTTAAATACATAAAAGCAGGCGCTCAGCAGTTTAAATCGAAATTCGTTCACAATCAGTGTGAAACAATTCGCTTTGCAACATCATGTTAGCACTTGAACAATGAAACGGATTGCAGAGAATAACATAAAAGGCTCGAGTGATGGAATCGATTAATGAAAAAGGTACTCCTCAACATCACAATTCATCAGAGGTTCATTCTCGCTTCCTATTAGCAACATTATCAACGTTTATCGTGCATCGGATGTGATGTTTCATCAGCAGAACAATCGAAACGCTCCTCTCGCTGATGCTTGACGTTGACAAGTGAACATGAACGATGAGATTCTTCAAAAAAAATAAAACAATAACGAGAAGAAAAAAGAGAACAATAAAGACCAGAACGCTCAACACAGCGCCAAAAAGCAATTGTACACATTTACGTGCCCCTAATCCACTCTCTTAAATACGTAAAAGTAGGCGCTCAGCAGCTTAAATCGAAATTCGTTCACAACCAGTGTGAAACAATTCGCTTTGCAACATCATGTCAGCACTTGAACAATGAAACGGATTGCAGAGAATAACATAAAAGGCTCGAGTGATGGAATCGATTAATGAAAAAGGTACTCCTCAACATCACAATTCATCAGAGGTTCATTCTCGCTTCCTATTAGCAACATTATCAACGTTTATCGTGCATCGGATGTGATGTTTCATCAGCCGAAGAATCGAAACGCTCCTCTCGCTGTTCGTCGTCATGATCAGAAGAATCGCTCTCTATCGAACCATCAAGAAGATCCGATTCATCGCATACCACTTCTCCGTCCTCTTCTTCGGATTCAGATTCACTCTCGCTACCAGAAGACTCCATCTCAACATCACTGATAAAATCTGAACCGCTTTCAGATGTCGATTCCGGAGTTGCTTCTTTTCGACGACGTTTCGCTTTTGTTTTTGGCGGTTGGGCACACCTTTTGGTGGCGTTCGTGCGCCTTGTTCCAGACTTTTGCACTTGTTTCTTCTCTGAAAACGAACTGCAATGAACCGTAACAATGATTCTTCTAATTTAAAAAAGAATAACTCAGTTTCAAAATTACGATAATAAACTGTTTGATGAAAACGTCGCCTGCACACGAATAAATTTTTTTTCTTTAACAAATAAAATGTTCTTCAACGACAGAAGAATCGCACTTTATAATTTTATTGATTCTACTGACAAAGAATCACTTAAGAATCGCACTCAATTTTACTGAATGAGTGAAATTTTGAGGAATGCAAACAAAATGGCATTAGCTTAAGCGAATATTCTCAGTGCGCTAGTGATAACTAATAAATTGTTGAATTTCCTGGATCAATCAATGAAAAATTAGCACTAAGCATTGATGTACTGCTCACAGTTTATTTTTCAGAAGTCACTCAAATTCAATGGCATCAAAATAATAAGTCACTAATCAGATGGGAGGACAGAATAAATTTCACCAAGCAATTGCAGACGATCTCGCATCATCTTCACGAAATCTCCCATTTCGAAATTATTCTTCGTTCCTTCATCCTCAACTTCAAGCTGCGTTGCACTTATCTTCTGAAAACAATAAAAACAAAGTAATGATGCACGAAACTGGACTAATTTCTGGAAATTGAAAATAACCACTCGCTCGAATAAACACTTCAACAGTTTTGAACCGGCTCAAAAATCATAATTTGACTGAAAAATCACTAATTTATAGATAATATGTTGTGGAAATTTCAAATCCACTTTTCTGTCCTATAGACACGGCACTATTTTCGGATTTATTTGAGCAATCCTGATGAATGACTTTCGAATCAAACGATGAAGACAAATAGTTCGAAAATATAACCTCTCGATTCTTTGAAGAATTATTATCGTCGGCGATTTCTCTCTCAACAATCTCTCGTAATTTCATTCGGTTAAGTCGTAAATATTCCTTTTCAATGGAACGATTCATTAACATCGGCATAAATAACAACCGCCTTAATTGCACCTTCAAAAAAGTATACTTTAATGCTCTCGTCAGTAAACATTCGATTATTTCTACAATGAAAATCATAAAATAGAATTCACGAAGCATACAGCAGTGTACGTGGCGAATTATTTTAAGATGAAAAATATGAAAACATTCGAGCAAAATCTGAGCAACGTCCATTAATCGAATGCAGCAGAATTCGGCGAAAGAAAAAGCAGTAACAAGACTCATTCCTTATAATTCACAGAAAGGATTCATTCCCAAACATTCTCTCTGCATACATCAGTGAAAATACGTTATTTTCAAAGATTCAATTACCGAGCAGTATTGATAGGAAGGATCCTTTTTCGTTTCATCTGCAATATCCAGAACGACACCTTCTTCACTGTCACCCTATAAATGACATATCTTAGAACCGGTTGCTCATCACAGAAATTTGAGTCAGGGATTCCCTTGTCTCGGGAGCCTCCGAACATCCACGAGGTTTTTGCGACTCTTGATCCAACCTCAGACAAGAGTGACCATCGCAGAAATTATTTTACCTACTTTGTTGCTGTTACATTCTTGATGATCAATACTTCAAAAAATCAATTCGTCAATGGAAAAAACGATGTTAGAATGGACGAAGGTTCATATTGAGTATAAAACGAATAAACTGTACTATCAAAACGAGAACAAATCGAACCATTCTGACGCAATTGAACAATTTCTTCACTTTACAATTCAAAAAATTCATTCCTTCCTGAAACAGTTCAAAAGTGATCAATAAATATCGAACCGTAATACGACAGATTCGATATGAATAAAGCAGCAATAAAATTGGAATTCACTCAAATGCAATGAAATTAACAGAAATAATTATCTGATCGTGAGATCGTTTTGCTTCATTAAAGGTAAAAGCGATACATGAAAGAACTGTAACAAATCTGGTCAAAAATTTTTCAAAAGGTGAGAAAATCAGCTATGAAACTACCTTTATCGTTTCAAACAATTCGAGGCTAGCGAGAAACGGTGGGAGGGGCGATAGACTTTGACATGATTCCATAGCGTTCAAAACGTCGCTCATCAATGCCTGGCATGATTTTAAAATTAAAACTACGAAAGAGATTCACGAATTTAGACGATTTCGGTGAATCGATTTCAAATGGTGGTTTGTGAAAAGAAAAATAAAACAACCTTCACGCTTAACACATTATCTATTACCAGTTATGACGATTCGATTAAATGATTTTTTGAAATTTTCAAAAAATTGATTTGTGGGAGTAAATATCAGACGACAAATACGACAGATACCTACCTGTGTCATGAATCGATGACAAATATTGATAACTGGAGTCTTTCTGAGTCGAATGTGCTCCGTGCGCAAACGCTGTTCATCAGCGCGTTTTATTAGCGAGATTAAAGCATCTTCCAAGAAACGTTTTCGACTCTGAAATACACTTCACGCGTGATTGTTGTACGGAGATGACAATCTGTGAAAGTTATCCAAATAAGAAATAATGAGAGTATATATTTTGAAGCAATCGATCGACCTCATCATAAAAATGAGAAATAACCTGATCGTCATTGAGACACTCGTAGGCCTCAGTGATGCTCTTGCATTCGTTGTGTCGCAGTATCTTTAAGGCGGTCAACCGAAGGGGTTTCAAATCCAACGCACTCCGAAGTGCTTTATCATAGTGCCTTTTCAAGATTCTCAATGCTTCATCGCTGAGATGCCTTGAAGATTACGTATGAAAATCAACGATTGAGAATCTTGAGAATGCGCATAAATA